GTGTGTGTGTGTGTGTGTGTGTGTGTGTGTGTGTGTGTGTGCCATGTGCTGAAGCTTGGTGAACTGAGGAGCTGAAGTGTATCTGATAGTTCCATCCCTCCCCAGCTTCAACACTGGCTGCTTGTTTTTGAGCGTTCACATAAGAACTGGCTGCAGACGCCTCCGTTCCCCCGACACACGAGACCACACACCTGAGTTACACCTGAGTTACACCTGAGTTACACCTGTGTGTGCTCGGTTTCCCTGTGAGGATGGACAGGAGCCAGGGTCTGTGTGTTTGACTGGGATGATTGAGGTCGTGACCTGTTCCACACCAAGATTTTAATAGTTCTGGATCTTTCTTTGTGTGACGCTTCACAGCATTCACACAATTCAGATCTTTTTTTTTTCCGTACATTTTTCAGCATCTAACTTGTTCCACAATTTTTGTGCTATTTCAACATTTCATATATCAAAACGTTCAGCTCATTCATGTGAGGGCTGCTATGACTTTTGGTATTTCAGCTTTTTTCACTTTTTTAACTATTTCACTTTATTTTAGCCACTTTTTTGCCATTGAAAATGAACGGAGCTGTTTTCAACATCCTTAAATTCCTTTGAAAATGTTTCTAAATCTTCACAGCACCTGACACATTTTGCTCTGTTTATTCTCTTTTTCACATTCGTGTGCTAATTTTAGCTACGTTTTTGCTATTTCAGATAAAATCCTTCTTCTTTATGCTATTCTTCTGTCTTTTTCTACTTTTTTGTGCTTTTTTGTGCTGTTTTTCTTCTTACAGATGCTTTCTGTTATATTCAGCTATTTGCTGAAATTTTCGCTAATGTTTAGCTACTATTAGCTAAAGTTAGCTTTTCTAAGCTAAATACACATTTTTTATAGCTATTAAAACTTTTTCTGAAAACTTCAGCAAACTTGTGCTCCTTATTATGCCAATTTAAATTCCAGCTACTTTTTTAGCTGTTTACTGAAACTTTCAGCTGTTTTGGCCATTTTACTACTAATTATCACTTTTTGGTACTCACATGCTATTCTTCTGCTAGTTTTACAATTTTTACAACACTTTCTCTATCTGGGTGCTAATTTCACCTTGTGGCTGCTAGCTTTAGCCTATTCTATGCTAATTTTAGCTTATTTATGCTACTTTAGCTGTAGATCCGCTTCTTTCTACTACGCTTTTGCTTTATGCCTTTCCCTGCTACTTAGTGCTATTTAATGCTTCTTGCAGATGTTTTCAGCTATATTTAGCTATTTTAGTTCTTAGCTTTTAGCTGTTTTATGTTTTCATAAATGTCCTTTATCCTTTATTGCTTTCTTAGTATCATTTAAGTGCGTGATCTTTTTTCTCATCTGTCTGTCTCCTGGCATTCAGAGTGGATGGAAAACTAATAATTTCATTGCTCAGGGAAACACGTTTCATCTGTTTATATGACAATAAACACTAAACACTAAACATAAATACAACTTTAAATTGTCCTGATGCATCTCAATAATCCAGGAAGAAAAATAAAAATAAAAAAAAATAAAAAAGCTGTGTAGGTCCTCTGGACAAGTTCTTTGTTGAAAAGACGTTTTGTTCTTCTCCAATGGTCCAACACAGAAGAACAACATCATCAGACCAGGACTGTGCAGTTCTACAGGCCAGCGGTCACTCTTTCAGGCATGAAGATGATCTCATCGTTGATAGAGAGGAATGTTGGTTTGAGAGGAGTAAAGGAAAACCGCCCGTCATTAAACAGGAATGGTCTCCCTGTCCAATTGTCTCCGTCTTATGATGCTGTTATTGAGTATGACTCAGCCCTCTGTGAACAAAAGGGATAAAGACTGTAACGATTGTTAGGCTGAAACAAACAGTTTTGATTGTCATCGTTAAACTTGTTTGTCCAACACGTGGAGGCGGAGCTTATAAGGCTGAGTTCACCTGAAACTCCTCAGACTGAAGACGTCTCCTGGACGAGAGACGAGACAATTTTCAACAAAGAAAAACTCGTCCAGAAGACCTCCTCACGTTTATTTAAACAACTTTAGATCCTGCGTTCTCATGTAGTTTTCTGGGTGCTGAATGAACTGTAGATTTATTAAAAACTTACCACAGAAGCCTGACCCGACCATCAAGCATTTAATTTTGGTCCGACCCAGCCCGCAGCCCGGGTCGGTCTAAGGCTATAAATTTAAACTTTAATTTAGAGTTACCAGTTACCAAACATGCATTTGTTTATTCACGTTTTTATTGAGGACAACATGAAGAAGAGATATGTTTCATGCATTCATCTAAAACAATATTTTACAAATCCTTTTCCAATTGGCTGCATTAATCCAGACATTTTCATGTAGTTATCCAATATCTGGGACACTTTTTTCTTTTTCTTTTTTAACATGCATGTTTTTGTTCTGTGAGAGGAAACCGGAGCACCCAGAGAAAACCCATGCTTGCACGGAGAGAACAGGCATTTTACTGTTTTTACTGATCACCTGCACTGGCGTTAGATTACGCAAAAGAGAGTATTAAAGTGCCTGTGACACCAATTTTTTTGCAATAAACACAAATTCGTTTTTCAAAAGATAAGATTGATAATATATTGCAAAAGAATTGACATAACTGAGATGAACAGTTGTTGAGATATTTGTGTGACGCTTCACAGCGTTCACACTATTAAGATCATTTTTTCTTCCGTATGTTTTTTGGCATCCAACTCGTTCCACAATTTTTGTTCTGTTTCAACAATTCATGTATCAAAACGTTCTGCTCGATTATGACAATCCTGCTATGACTTTTGGTATTTCAGCTTTTTATACTTTTTCAGCTATTTCACTTTTTTAGCCACTTTTTTGCCATTGAAAATGAATGGAGCTGTTTCCAACATCCTTAAAATCCTTTAAAATATTTCTAAATCTTTACAGATCCTTACACCTTTTGGTCTGGTACTGCTCTTTTTAACTTCCCGTCTTAATTTTTTGCTACGTTTTTGCTAATTTTAGGTATTTTCTGCAATTTCAGCTAAAATTCAGCTTCTTTCTGCTATTCTTCTGTTTTTTCCATCTTTTTGTGCCTTTTTCTGCTAATTTGTGCTAACTCTGCTCTTTATAGGGCATTCTGCTATTTTCATCTATTTGCTGAAACTTCAGATAATTTTTAGTTGCTATTAGCTAAAGTTAGCTTTTTAAGCTAAATACACAGTTTTTGTAGCAATATAACTTTTTTCTGCTAAGTTCTGCAACATCAAGCTCATTATACTTCATTATGCTAATTAAAGAATTAAAGGAAACTATTTTACATAAAAATTTGGCTGTTTTAGTAACTACAAATTGACACTTTTTTGTACATTTATGCTCTTTTTTTTCTGCCAATTTTACATTTTTTTCCACTGTTTGGGTGCTAATTACAACTTCTGGCTGCTACATTTAGCTTATTTTATGCTAATTTTAGCTTGTTTTTTGCTATTCTTTTGCCTTTTTCTACTGTTTGAGCTTTTTTCTGCGAATTTGTGGTATTTATGCATCTTACAGATGTTTTGCTCTCTTTTTTTCAGCTATTTTAGCTTTTAGCTATTTTCTGCTTTTTCAACTATATTTTTTTGCTTCTTTTTACCTTTTTCTGCAAACTCAGGCTTTTTTGCTTCTTTCAACTGAAAATTTTAACTTACAATAACACTTTTGCTACTAAATTTTTTCAGCTCGATTTCAGCAGTGTTCAGCTTAAATTTTCAGCAAGAAGCATTCACACTAACATTTTCACAGGAAATGCAATCTCTCTGGTCACATGTGAAGTAACAGGAAGTGATGTCATAGGGGAACATCTGCATGTGAGCAGAGTTCAGACTGTAGAGGAAATTCTGATGTTTCTTTAGATTATTTTGAGTTATTATCAAAGACATGAAGAAGAGTCAGAGTTCACATAATTTTGTTTCATAAACAAAAACCAGAGTTTCTTTTCTTAAACAGTTCCCCTTTGATGTCACTTCCTGTTTCATTTTGGCTGAGCCAAGTTCAAAAGAAAAAAATGCCAGTTTTTTTGACAAAATGGGTAAAATTGTGTGTATTGTGCCAAGTTTCTTAAATAGAAAGATATTTTCCTTGACATTGTGTATTTGAGGGACATGCATGT